CACCATTCCACACACCACCCTCAGGGTGTCAAGGCCAGGCCTTAAACAGCATTCACCTCAGTTCAGACTCCACCCTTAAAAAACTGGCCACTGTACCCCAGATAAGTTGAAAGGTACAGGAGCTCAGGAACTAATTGTGAGCATGTGGGGAGGGGAGAGGGAGCTAGGAGAAAGAGAAGGGGAGCAGAGGAGGACATGAGGTACTAGGAAGATTGAGCCAGGGGAAGAACAGAGGAGAGCAAATTAAGAGACACCATAATAGAGGGAGCCATTACAGGTTTAAAGAGAAATCTGGCACTAGGGTAAATCCATAAGGATAACCCCAGCTGAGAATCTAAGCAACAATGAAGAGACTACCTTAAATGTCCTCCCCATTTAATGAGATTGATGACTACCTTAAATGCCATCCTAGAACCTTCACCCAGTAGCTGATAGAAGCAGCTGCAGACACCCACAGCTAAACACTGAGCTGAAAGCTGTGATCCAGTTGCAGAGAGGGAGGAGTGATGAGCATAGGGGCCAAGACTAACCTGGAGAAACTCACAGAAACACCTGACCTGAACAAGGGGGATCTCATGGACGCCAGAGTCCCTATAAGTGGGTGTCAGCTACCACTCCTGGGTAGTCTATGGGGTCTCTGGTAGAAGATCTGTATTTATCCCTAATATAAGAATGTTTGGGAACCCATTCCACATAGAGGGATACTCAATAAGCCTAGACACATGATGGGGGCCATAGGCCAGGTCTAAAATGACTTGACAGATTTTGATGGTCCCTTATAGCAAGCCTCATGATCCCTGGGGAGTGGTTGGGGGATGGAATGGGGGGTCAATGGCTGAGAGGGAGAGGGACCTGAGATGGATATGTCAAATAAGACTGTGTCTAATTTAAATAAAAATCATGAAATTAAATAAATAGGAAAGATGGGGTGGTAAATACCTTAGCTTAACAATTGTTGGTGCCATAGTCCTAAAGTACTGGAGCTTCTGGGAAGATTTTGGACACTGTCCTGAACTAATCACAGGTTCCCTTTGTACTGTTGTTCTCCCAACATATATCATTGACCATATTTATCATGTATGACTTTGAAATCCTGAAATGACTACCTCCACATTCTGAGTACCATGATTACAGTCCTCTGACACCATGCCTGGCTCAGGTGGCCTCAACTTCACTTAGTGAGGCATTAGAAAGTTGGGATGAGTAACATGAGGAGCTGTGCTTAAGTATAATCAAAATTGAATTATCTCTGTGAGCCTGGGTTTTCACCACCTACACAATAAGGCACAACTCTTCCCAAGTCCTTTGATGATTTACAACAGATTCAATGATAAGGAAAAATAATTTCTCATAGTTGAAATACAGTGGACTTTAAGGCAGAAAGGCTGCATTTCAGGGGTACCTTCTTCAGTTACTGGAGTTATAACCAGAGCCTGTGTTCTGGCTACCCTAACAAGCAAGGCTCAGTCACTCATCCTCAACAAATCAAATGAAGAAACTCATCAAGCCAATCAAATGAAGAAACTTATCTAGTGACATGGCCAACTATAATGCAGGTACTCTGTAGTCAAGATGGACAGATATCTCTGATGTCCTAGCATAGCAAGGTCTATAGTGTGATTTGTAGGTAAGACAGGGAGTCACAGTAATACCT